ATTCCCAATTAAATTCTCAGTTGAAGTCTCAATTGAATTCTCAATTGAATTCTCAATTGAGATCTTATTTTGGATCTTGCATGCGGATTTTTGCGGAAATCTCAATTGAGATCTCGATTGAGAATTCAATTGAGAATTCAATAGAGAATTCAATTGTGCTCTCAATAGAAATTTTTCAGTAGGGTTTACACTTCTATACATACTCCTAACGTGCAACAGTGATATTAACTTTCAGAAATGAATTTATGGAACCTAGAGACTTTTAAGATGACCAACATTGTCCCCTCTTTTTTATGGATTATATCTAACCCAAATTTACTTAACTCTAGGATCTTTTCATTATATATATAGGGATAACGTATGAAATCATACAAATCGGCCTCTAGTGGATATTACTAGTAATAGTTGTAAAAAATATGGCCGAGACGTTACACTCCCTGCGTTCCTTTTGGGCGCTCATGCGTTATAAGCGTCATTCTATCTTTATCGCTCATTATGGCTCCTGCACACAGGACGCGGTAACGTTTGCCGTGCGGCAGAAGTTCGCGCGACAGTATGCCAATCAATATGTTGTTTTTCCGTGAGAGTTGAAGGTTATTACGGAAAGCAGCATATTAATTGGCTGTCGCGCGAACTTCTGCCGCGCGGCAAGCATTACCGTCCTGTGTGCAGGAGCCATTAAATGTGGAAGAAAGATAGAGTGACGCTTATAAGCGCTTAAAGTGCGTAAGCGCCCAAAAGGAACGCAGCCACAGACTGCGTTCTAAAATTCACTGCTAGTACCGAAAATTTATAGTTCATGTTGCGTATACTATAGAATTTTAGTACTGGCATTTTTCGGCTATACTGAATTTCGGAATGTAGCCACAGGCAACAGGCAATAGCCAATAGGAACAGGGAATAGAAATAATTTACCAATCAATATTCCTATTCCCTGTTCCTATTACCTGTTGCCTGGCATTCTGCAAGGGCCTTAAGGTGCCTTTATATGGAAGCATCGAGCGTCGAGCGTTAAAGCGATAGTCAATCGACGTGCCACTTTCCGTAAGAACTACAATTATACTTCTGGGACCTGATACGTTAATTGGCTAACGCTTTAACGTTTGAAGCTTGGACGTTCTTATTTAAAGGTATCTTTAGCTGCGTTCGGAAACACACACTGTGTGTACACTACTAGACGATAGCCGTTGAAGTAAGCGAAGTACAAGAGTGAGATAAAAAGAGAGGGAGAGTACTCGAGTGACGTTTCCGAACGCAGCTTATCATGTTCGACTGGCTTTGGGTTAATCCACTCTGGTTATTCAGCCTACGTTTATTGGTCGAACAAGTACTTATAAGCTTTATGATTGGCTAGTAGGGACTTATGACGTCATTAATCGCTCTCGGAGCGATTAACCCAGGGCCAGTCGAACACACTGGGTGCTTTCCAGTTACGTTTTGTATGTTACACAAAACAGTTTATTGGTTGTTTATTATCTTACAAGATATTTTAGATAATATGTGACCAATAAACTGGTTTTGTGTACATATATGTCAAGATGTGTTAAACAATTGGAAAGCACCCACTATTAATTTTATATTGATATCAGCGCTATCTGGTAGTGATGGGGAGAGTTACTCCAGCCTTATGAAGGCCATTTGAGCTTGACTGTCCTGCTTACGGACTCTTGTAGATGACTCTTTGTTAACACTTCGTTCGAAAGATTGATATCTAATTGTAAGTTTACGATTATTACGTGAGTTTTCAGTTTAAACGGAGCCGCATAGATACTTGTATCTTATATTATGGAGCCATACGACGTAATTGTCAATCAACCGGTGGTTATCGACAACGTAAGTGTTTTATATTACTGCTCGTGCACTCTCACACCCAAGTTATAAGACAGCGATGTTTCAAACTTCAAGGTGTAATGTCGGTCCATTGATAGCAATAGCAATTAATAATTGCTACTATAATTGTGACCAATTAAAAAGAAAATTTTATAAATTTTTTCTTTTTTTAGATTTTTCTTTCTTTTATATCAGTATCTTTATGTTAAGATACATGTTAGATGTTAAAAATTTATTGACATCATCGACAATCTAGTCAATGATTTCGACGGAATACGCAAACTTTTCTCGGTTCTTCCTAAAATCGATAGATTCTTACACTTCTGCTTTTTTTCTGTTTAGGGCTCTGGTGTAATCAAGGCAGGATTTGCAGGTGGTCAGATACCAAAATGCAGATTTCCAAATTAGTAAGTATCCATGAAAATTTAACCTGATTAACATTTATAATAACATCCATTGTTTATAAAAGTTACTAACAGGTGATAAGTTTGAATAACATCAAATTAATTTAAATACAATTAAAAGATTATTTTTATTTTTCTTATTTCTTTTTTATGAAGTATACAAACTATAAAGTTGTAATCAATTAAGATATATGGAAATTAATTCTGTCTTACAAAATATTGCCTACAATGTAATTAGTTTTGGTATTAACAAAAAAAATTTAATAAATAATTTTTACCTTTAGTATTGGAAGACCAAAACATATACGTGTTATGGCTGGTGCTTTGGAAGGTGATCTATTTGTGGGTCCAATAGCAGAGGAACATCGTGGCCTTCTGTCTATTCGGTATCCAATGGAGCATGGCATAGTAACAGATTGGAATGATATGGAGCATATTTGGTCCTATGTATATAGCAAAGATCAATTAGCTACATTCAGTGAGGAACATCCAGTTTTACTCACAGAAGCACCTTTAAATCCTAGAAAAAACCGTGAAAAAGCAGCAGAAATATTTTTTGAAACTTTTAATGTTCCAGCTCTTTTTGTCTCTATGCAAGCTGTACTCAGCTTGTAAGTAATTTCTTACAATAATAAGAGTAAATTATAAAATTTTGACACTAAAATTTTTCTGAATTTTAGTTTTTGTGAAAAATTACATCATATATATAGTGACAATTATATATGTTACGTGCTGATATTTATTAATGTAGATATGCAACTGGCAGAACCACTGGAGTAGTTCTTGATGCTGGTGATGGTGTTACACATGCTGTACCAATTTATGAAGGTTTTGCTATGCCTCACAGTATAATGCGAGTTGATATAGCAGGACGTGATGTTACAAGACATCTTAGGCTACTTTTACGGAAGGAAGGTATTAACTTCAAAACTACAGCAGAATTTGAAATTGTAAGAATGATCAAAGAGCGAGCATGCTACCTTGCTAGCAACCCCCAGAAAGAAGAAACAATAGAAACTGAAAAGTTTCAATATATATTGCCTGATGGTAGTCACTTAGAGGTAAACAAAATAATTTGAGTTGATAAATAATTTTATTTAAAAGAAATAATGTTTATATGCAGTAAAAAATGCAATATTTTCATGGAGTAGTGAGTAAATGATTGTTACATATATTTGATATATTTATTACAGATCGGACCAGCGCGATTTAGAGCACCTGAAGTACTGTTTAGACCAGATCTGATAGGTGAAGAATGTGAAGGCCTTCATGAAGTATTAACATATTCTATTCAGAAGTCCGATTTAGATTTAAGAAAAGTTCTATTTCAAAACATTGTTCTGTCGGGAGGATCAACATTATTTCGTGTAAGTATAGAGTGACGCGTATTATATTTATATTTTACAAAAAAAAAAAAGATTCTCATCTGTTATTTAGGGATTCGGTGATAGATTATTGTCAGAAATTCGTAGGATGTCACCAAAAGATATTAAAATAAGGGTAAGAAAAACTAAATATTTTAAAAATAAAATAATAGGTATAAATTTAAAAATTCAGAAAAAGAAGCGTGAATTATATATCATTACGAATTATATGTTCTATGATAACAGATATCCGCACCTCAAGAACGATTATACAGTACCTGGATTGGCGGTTCCATTTTGGCTTCTTTAGACACTTTTAAAAAGATGTGGGTTAGTAAAAGAGAATTTGATGAGGACGGTGTACGTGCTATCCATCGTAAAACATTTTAAAACTTAGAGCAGTTTTTGAGAAAAGAATGTTAAGTCTAATAATTTTATTATTACAATAAGCAAATGATGGCATACTCGGCATTATAACAATATGTATCGCAGCAAACGTATTACCGGTTTTGGATGATAACTCTTATTTATATTATAATCCCAAAGGAGATCGTTATTCATGCATTTCTATCGATATTTAATGAATGTAACGCTAAAACGGCTTGGACTTGCTGTCATCATTGCTTGTTAGTTAATTTACGTGACTTTGTTTTGATAGATGTATACACGATGGTTTCGATACAAATACTTAGATACATTAAATATTTCTAGAAATATTGCACAATACGATAAAAAGAACAGAAAGCAAAAAAAGAAATAGATCATCAGAAGTTCTTATAAATGTAAATAATCTTTTAAAACTAAATGTATTAATAACAGACAAAAAATAATTCAAAATTGTCAGTTTTTTACATTATTTATTTATTATATATTTATATGTTGTGTCCCTAATCCTATTATGGATTTTGTGATAAAATTTATTATTTTCATTCAATAAGAAAGAGTACTTCACCTATATGATATAATGAAAGGTGCATTTTATGTGCAGCAACATTTTTGCAAAGCATTTGTAAATATATACGCTTTGGCAAAATAAGTCTATGTAGTGTTTATAATCGCATAAAATTAATATATATTTTTACGATTATATGGTAATATCGAAATTTATAGTTTCACATTAAGTAATTGATTCTAATGTACTTTGTATTGCATAATATAAATGATTAATTTCCAATATATTAAATGCTAAAAATGCAGTTTTAATATTTTTCATTTATGTAACTGTGTTTCAATCGTGATGAGAACAGTTCATAGAACTTAGTTATTAGAAAATTAATATTTATTGTTGCACAATAAAAAAAATAATATAAAAAATAAAAAACAGTGATTTAATTAGGATGAATATTATTATATGTTGTGGATACAAATATATGTCAATGCACTATTTAGAAGTTAAAACAATAATTTGCTGGTAATTATTATGTCAATATCAGATATGATAAAAAATACTCAAAAAATTAAATACTTTAGTACGAAAACATGTGTTTAAATTTTATGAACAGTAGTAAAAAAATTTTATTATTAAAATAAAAGATCAATGTAATAAGCGTTTATACTACTTCAAATAATTTGATAGATGTACTTTTTTGCTTAAATATAAAATTTTGTTTAGACAAACAGCATTCTGATTTTCTAATTATCAAGATAGAGAATACATAGAATATGTTGTCAAGTGTGATGATAGTTAAAATATATACAGGATATATATTTTAACACGAATCTGACATGAAATAGCTAGAAACATTGTCAAGTGTAATGATAGTTAAAATATATACAGGATATATATTTTAACACGAATCTGACACGAAATAGCTAGAAGCATGTGTACATTAGATCAAACTAAGCAAGACGTTTCTCTACTATTTTTCAAACAACTACGTAAAATTTCGGGATATTAATAAAAAAAAATTGACTAATCAGCGGTCTTTCTTTCGAAAAATGTACAATATTTCCATAACATATACTATAGCTTTTTATCGAAATATCGTAACATTTCGATAAGGAACTACAGTATACGATATTTCGATGAAGAACTATAGTATACATAACATAAATTATAGCTTTTCATAGAAATATCGTATGTGATATTTTCCGAAAATAAGGGTATTCTGAGTTCTCTTTTAACGATAAATGAACCTCTAAAAGAGGCTTAGGAACCACTTGATTGGCTGAGAAGCTACATTTAAGGTAATTTTATTGATAAAAGAGGGTTCAGAATATGGGTCCATGGCGATGAAAGCATGAAGAATAAGTCGAAAAAACGTGCGATGTTGTGGGACGAACTCTGTTAGTGAGAGATTTCATAAAAAATGGTTGTTTCTTAACAGCACCGCACGTTCACGTTGTATCGAAAAATAATTGTCCACGTATCATTCATCATCATTACTTCGTCTTCAGCTATCAAGCGATAGTTACTATCGCACGCTTGTTATTTTCGATAAATAGAGCTCATCCTACGATGTTGTATGTACTAGTTCACAAATCTTTTTTCATTAATATTTAACAATTTTACGTAATTGTTTGAAAAATAGTAGATGAATTTTTTGTTTAGTTTTTTTCTAATATACCTACACACTCATGCTTTTGATCATCTCGTGTCACACTACAAATTGTATTCCGATATTCCCTGTTAGTACTGAAAATCTATATAATTCATGTTATATATACTATCCATACAAAACAAATATCCAAAATACATTTCACAGATATCATATAGATATCGCGATATCTATTTATTTCGAATATTTGTTTTGTATGAATATAGATTTTCAGTACTGGCAATAAATACCGTACAAAATAAAATTATTTAAGAAAAGTAAAATATGTCAGAACACACACGCGCGCATACATACACACACACATACACTTAGCGTGCCTGACTCACATTAAAACATAATTTTCTCAATAAATTATATACGTCATATTTTATAGTAGGGGAATCCGGGGCAGGTTCGCAGTAGGGGTAGGTTCGCAAATTGTTTCGTTTATGTACTTATTGTGAAACAAACAGTTCGAATGGAATCATAAAACATTTCGTATAAAGATATTTATCTCCAATTCTCATTACAATCGAAAAAATATTAACAATATAACAACTAAATAATATAACAACTATATAATATAACAACTGAAAGAAAGAAAAAAACTAATTTGAGGGCAGTCGAGTAAAGTTTAGACATCTCGAAATTTTCTCCTCACATTTTCTATCGTGAATGAATGAACTGAAGATATGTAATTAGTTAAAATAAAGTTTGTTGCATATATGATACACTGTTTTGTATAATAACAGTGAACAGAAATATTTGAAAGGCCTATAAGGAACCAAGCACGGATGTTTTAGTGCCATTAGATATTAATACTAATAATATTAATAATATTAATATTAATTAATTTATTATTTTTTTATTATTTAATAATATTAATATGATAGTGGGAGGATAATATGTCCAGCATGTCAAACGCACGTATCGGAATTTTTTCTCGATCATCGTACGTGGCGAATCAATCTTT